TATATTATTCGGAACGCAAAACTGATCAAAACTAACCTCCTCCAGTTTCTGGACATCTTGTTTTGTCAGTGTGCGATCAACATTGAATCCATTTCTTGGGTCCAGAACAACAGCTTTCACCTGCACGTGCAGTAAACATTTTAAAATCAAATCTAAAATGAGCTGACAGTCCACATGGGTGACGGGACACGACACACCACCATACGCTACTTTCATTAAATCAGCGGAGTTTATAAACTACTTAAGTCTTTCGGTGTGGATTAACCATGGAGCGTTAGCATTTAGCGGTGGTAGCAAGCTAGCTTGGTATTCGGGTTATACTGACCATGAAAGCAGCCAAGGTGTCCGACACCACATGTCCCCTCGCCGCACACTCCCGCACTATTTCGTGGATAATGTTTTTAATCACGTCTTCTGCGTGAGCCCGCGACATTTCTAAAAGTGACTGGAACTTATCTCAACTACAGCTTGATGCTAACGGCCTCCGCAGGTTGTTGGTGGCTGGTTGCCACGGTAACAATGTTCGCGTGACAGTGGGACAAAGGACATGTTCCTGTCAGAGAGGAATTACGCGACAGTGTCTCTAAATGAAAGTGTTCCAGTCGTCAGTGACAGCATAGAGAAGGAGCTGAGTGTGTCACAGAGTTTGGCGTGGAAATACACGCACAGCCGTGGAGAAGCTGACAGACTCTGACCATCAGAAACTTTTACAACTTTCATATGCGTTTGTAAATAATGTGTGATTGGCTCAACTGGTAGCAACACTTGTACATCGAAAAAGAGATTGTAGGTTTAAGACCAACTGTGCAACTGATGCTGCTACTAAAAAGAAACACACTGACTCCTCTGCTCTGCTCTCCTCTCTCTCTCTGTATCTCCATCTCTTTAAAAAGAATTTTTTTATCTATCAGTTAAACTTGTGTTGATAAAGTGTTGAGGGTTCAAAACGAACTCTGAGTAAAAATAATTTTTTGCTTTTTTAGTACTTCTGCTGTTAAATAAAAAGACACTGACAGACACTCCTGCAATGAGTCCTCTGCTCTTTAGCATTTAGTGGCAACCCACCGTTACAACAGAGTTTGGCATTTTGTCCAGCGCCATCTTAGTATTTTGAAACCAAAAGTATATATTTGGAGGTGCAGGGGATGAGCTACTGCAACCCCACTTGCAGGTGCAACCTCAACCCTTTGGTGATAGGTCAGTGTGGTGCTGACTGAACTATCACATACATGAGTGCACTCTCCTGGTGGGTTACTTTGTATTACTGCTATTAATATCATGAAGATAAAACCGTGTCAAATAGTTGTCATCATGTTAACTATCTGTGAACACACACTCCTTCAACAGTGTATTGGTGATAAATGCATTAGTCTGTCACTCTAATGATTCACCCTCATCAATGTAGCCAAGTGCATGGTTTTAAGAAAGCGCTGATTCTCATCTAAATTCCTGATGTGATTTATTGACACTGTATTAAGTAAAACACTGCTAACACCTGTAGAAATAAATTGAATTAGAGGAAAATAACCTCCAGCAGAAATATGTACAGATATACACACCACATTACAGAGACAAATCAAGTTATAGGAAGACAGAGATCAGTTATCAGACCAGGATATACCGCAAACATAAACATGTTCAGACACCCTGTCCTTGAGTTGATATTTGTCACATTTTTAAACTTTTTAAAAAAACCTTTCCATGCATTAGCCACGCTGCAAAGGCCTTTTATTTTTTTTCCACAGTAAGTGTGTCATGGTTTAATTCCATTTTTGTATCAACATGTGCCATCCCTGCACCAAAGGACAGCTTGTTGGATTTTTTCACACATATTTTTCCTTTCATTACTATTTTCGTCTATTTACAACTATTTTTGCTATGACGAAAATTACCTTGTTAATTTATTGATCAATACATGTTTCCATTTCATAATTCAAGGCTGCTCTTCGGACCAAAGTGACAAACTCAGCACAGACTGATCTGAGCCACAAGAAGTGGGAAAACGTCACTCAGACCTGGCTGCCCAAGTACGCCGCCTGTCAAAGCAAGAGAGACGGTGGGAGCAACGTGCCCAGGCCTCAGGTCTACCTGGCAGGTCTGAGGGGACAATGAGACGGACACATGGTCAAAACTAACCTGACTAGATCTGTGGATGAATACTTTCACAATAAAGTGTGAAAAATAAAATAGCTTTTGTAATGCATATCATCATTTTTTAAATTAATTTTACTCTTGTGTTACTTGATGACGTCTGGAGGAGTCTGCACCTCTTTATATACAGTCTATGGTCTGCACACAACTAAGGCAGAATCAGATAATGTAAAAGCATTTGTCAATATGCATATGCATGGATTTTTCTCATTTCATCAATGTGGCAGGAGTTCAGGGACTCGTACTACAAAGCCATTTTTCGGGATAACTTCAGGTTAAATTCAGGGTTTCCACTCCTACGAAGGTCGTTCACTTATTTATCGGGATAAATCACCATGGTAACTTATGCTGAATGGATCAATAAAAACAACCTTCAGAGAAGAGGTCAAGAACCTGGAGAGCTGGCGGTAGAAGACAGAGGCCCATCATCAACTTCTATCATGGATTCTGCTGGAAAACCAAATTCATAGATGACCGATCTTCAATGTGAACGTGTCTGTGACAATAAGGTGCACTCTTATTGCACAGAAATCATATTGTTTATAAAAAAGAGATTTTACTGTGAGTATATTTGTGAAACTGATAATATGTTTTGTAGGGTTGGGAAGAAGTTACAAGTAGAACTTTCTTAGATCAATAAGAAATAAAAGTGAAAAACAACAGATGCGGAGGAAACCACACGTGTCTTCACCTTGGGGGCCCAAATTGCTAGATGCACCACATGGTGAGATACTGTAATACAGCATGATACCCTGGCTGTGCCACCAAGAACAAGGCTTTTTCAACGGAGGTCTCATAGCTATGTAGGAAGTCAACAGACACCATATATAGAGATGTCCACCTGGAACAGATGTCCAGACATTTCAAAGTACTGATGTCTTGCTGCAGGCTATGCCCAAATGAAAAGCACAATGTCAGAAGTGGGATTCGAAGCCACGCCTCCAGGGGAGACTGCGACCTGAACGCCAGCAGCTGCTGAAGTGTCTGTCCAACATTGTGAATATTGGACTGTAAGAGCCAATCGGATTTGCAAGTCTAACATTCAACGACCAATCATTTCGCCGGACTCTTCCCCGGTCCATCATTTGACCAATCACAGGGCGGAAATGTTGGATGAGAATTTTATTCATCGTGGCCGACAGGGGGCGTTTAGAGCGGTGAATATGGCGCAGGAGCAGTGCGTTCAAAACGAGAAGGAAAAAAATCACGTCTATTCAGTCGACATGGTGAGTATTTACGCATCTAATGCACTTCTGTTCAGGTTATAAGACGTCAGTGTGGTGATTCTGGTGTTGGGTGTGTTGTCTCTGTCTCCCCCTTCTGTTCTGTTCTKATCCTGCAGGTGGTGTGTGTGGCAGGGGGTGTGGCTGGCTTCCTCACTGCAGCTAACAAGGCACACCTGCAATTATTCACCCATCATCCCCTCCATAAAAGCCTGGTCCTGACTCCACTACTCTGCCAGTTAATTCCGTCTAGTCCGGTAGCGTACCTTGATGTCGACCTCTGAGTCTTACTCCTCGTTTTGGTTTGTTTTCGTACTTAACCAGTATTGTTTTCTTTTACTACACAGACTCCTCGGTGTGCCTTGTTGCTGCTCCTCGGTTTTCGTTTTCCCTCGTGCGTGTTTTCCCTTGGATTATTCGGCCAGCCAGCACCCTGCCTCCACAGCCTGCCTGCTCTGTTTTCTGGTGTTAATAAACTTTTCGTTAACACTAGACTGCTCTCAGTGTCTGCTTTGGGGTCCAACCAAGAACCACCGGTAACAGTCAGTTTAAGCCTAGAAGTGATTTCACCTCGTGTGTGTGTGTTGTCACGTCGTTTAGGATAGTGCTAATTATCATGTTGTTAACCAACAATGGCGTGCCGTCAGAAGCGGTGACCTGTCCTAATGTATTCATCATAGAGTGTATACAGGCAGCATTCATAAGATTATTACAGCGTTATGATGCTGGTGGTCTGGCTTTTATATCTGACACATATGTTGTTGTTTTCATGGCTGTTAAAGATGTGCATTCATTCATTCATTCATTCATTCACGTCACCGAAGGCATCTTCTACCAAGCCAAAGAAAAACAAGGCGATGGTGGACTCAGAGTGGATGTCCCATCTGAGGAAGTTTGCCAGCACTGGAGCCTGGCCGGCAGGTGAAGGGAACAGGCCAGCTCCCAGACAGAAGAARTGGTACGAGCTGTATCAAAGGGTAAGAGCACTGCACAGTTTATTTTATTACTTGTTATTTACTCTAATCATACTTTTACTCATGATAGAAAATACAGTGAAAGCCAATGAGTTAATAAACATGTCATGAGCAAGTCATTTACATCAGCTCTGTGTCTGTGTTCATTTATATCAACTATTATTTTTAGATTGAGAAATGTCCCATGCAGACGCATGGACAGATGTCCTTGTTCGGTCAGCTCAGGAAGTGTACCTGTGGATTCCACGCTCCGAAGGTAACACTGGTCAGTTAAAGACTCAAACAGTGTGTGTTCATATGTTTGTGTGTGTGTGCATGCATATCAGTACAGATGCTAATTATGATAAATCTATTCTGTAATTAACCAACGGCCAACCGGAGCAAGTGCTGCTCAGGGGCCCACACAGCAACGGACTGGAGCAGTGGGTCCAGTTCATAGCACTTTGTGACTGCAGAGTGCAGCAGTTCAGAGCGTCCTGGGTCAACAACCTGCAGCAGCGGGTCTGACCCAGAGCACCACTTCAGCAGCCGGTCCGGTACAGAGTACCATGGGTCAGCAGAGTCCAGCTGTGGGTCCAGTCCACACCACTGTAGGACAAAGTGCTGCTGTGGGACAGGTTCTGGGAGCAGGAGGACCGAAGCAGCGACCATCATTGAATTTGGCAATGGTATTTGGACACTTAGACACTCATAACTGACCATGAATGTCTGACTCACAGGATTATAGTTTGACAATATAGTCCTCTAATGATACAGTCTTGTGGTGTTTTTATTCCCTTCCAGTTCACCAAGCCAGGATTTGGTGGTGCTCATGTTGCTGCTGCAAAGCCAAATCTGAGCCCGAAAAGTATCGCAGGTAAGAAGAGATCAAAAAGCAACCTGTTTTATTAATGCAGCTGTGTTATTAATGCAAGTGACTTATGACTGAATGCTTTACARACCCAAGTCACCGACTCTGCTGAAGCAAGCTCCAGTTCAGCAGCCAACATTGCTGTCTCAGTGAGTAATTACACCTGTTTGAATACAGTCTATTACAGTGTGTCTATACAAGATTATTAAGAACAGTAAAAAACATTCAAATCAAAAGGTACCTAAGCTAAATGATTGTGTAGAATAATGACTGAAGGTTTGATTGTGTGTGACTCTTGCCATGCTGTTACAGGCTCCAGATCCTCAGACAGCTGCTCAGGTGGCTGTACCAGGTCCTGCAGCAGTGTGTCCTTCTGTGTCAGTAAGTAATTTAGCATTTCATATAGCATAGAGCATCTGCAGTTCTTTTTACAARTATCAAGCATGTTCATGTGTTATTTTGTCTTTGCCCAGACTGCGGACCCCAGGACTGACACACCTGAAGCTCCAGCGACTCCCCAGCTGCCCCGCCTGTGGTCAGAGGGCTTGCCAACTGCAGACCACAARTGGATTGCAAAGACCCTCTTGAAGGTGGGGCCCAAGGGGAAAATGGAGCTTCAGCAAAACCTGAAGCTCTGGTACTATCCTCCAGAGCCAAGCCAGCTGTACCACCAGGCTCCTGCACCGGACCGCTTTTTTGCGCATCCACTGCTGGTGTGGATGCCATATAAGTTGTGGAAGGTGAGGTTGGTCTGTCCAAACCCTGCCTGTGGCCAGCACCAACTCACAGGAGCAGGGTTGCACAAGAGAGCACGACGGGTCCTGGACGTGGACAGGATCTACAACATGGTGACAGAGACTSTGACCTGCACCAAATGTAGAGCCAACCATGTTTCATGGAGCAAGACTGTCCTCACACAGCTGGACTTGGCTCACYGTTCAGAGTTTCGGGTCATCCTCACACAAAAGTRAGTAACGTTTCTTTTCCCCTTTGCCTTGTCAAATAGAATGATGTAAAACATTCYAACTGATATATCTTGTATCCTATCTGTGACCAAGGTTTGCCTGTGACATCCGGGTGATCCGGCTTCTGCGGGAGAGAGGCCTGGGTAACAGTCCCACRAGACTCCTGAAGCAGCTGAAGGAGAACCACACAGAGGAGTGGCTGACGAGAATTTTATTCATCGTGGCCGACAGGGGGCGTTTAGAGCAGTGAATACGGCGCAGAAGCAGTGCATTCAAAACGAGAAGGAAAAAAATCACGTCTATTCAGTCGACATCGTGAGTATTTACACATTTAATACAGTTCTGTTCAGGTTATAAGACGTCAGTTTAAGCCTAGAAGTGATTTCACCTCGTGTGTGTGTGTTGTCACGTCGTTTGAATAAGTTGTCTACTTTAGGACCGCTCCGTTATCTATCTCCATTTCCTCCGATACTGTTAGTCCATCTTGTTTAAACGCTCGTTTTTTCTGAGCTTAATTATCACTTTCTATTTGTATGGTAGGCCTAGCTTCATTCATCACTTGGGTATATGACAGCCAGCTACTCTGCTGTTACAGGATCACCGCTGGATAGTGCTAATTATCATGTTGTTAACTAACAATGGCGTGCCGTCAGAAGCGGTGACCTGTCCTAATGTATTCATCACAGAGTGTATACAGGCAGCATTCATAGGATTATTACAGCGTTATGATGCTGGTGGTCTGGCTTTTATATCTGAAACATATGTTGTTGTTTTCATGGCTGTTAAAGATGTGCATTCATTCATTCATTCATTCACGTCACTGAAGGAATCTTCTACCAAGCCAAAGAAACACAAGGCGATGGCGGACTCAAAGTGGATGTCCCGTCTGAGGAAGTTTGCCAGCACTGGAGCCTGGGGCCAAGGGGACAGCGCTCTGGCTCACCTCTGTGGGAAATGAGCATGGCCAGATACTCATGAGTGTGCTGACCACTCAGGAGGGAGCTGGCCTGGACCTGATGGCAGCTGACTTGGTGAAGAGGTACCAGCAGGCCAGAGTGGATCCTCCTGTCGCCCTCTACGTGGACTGTGGCTGCTGTGCTGAGGCAGAGGAGACAAAGCTGAAGGCCAGATTCAGCGGGTGGCCAGCCCTCTCCATAAGGCTTGATATCTGGCACTTCATGCGCCTTCTGGCCCTGGGATGTGCAACAGATGCTCATCAACTGTACCCTCTGTTTATGTCACGTCTGTCTGCRTGCATATTCGAGTGGGATGCAACTGATTTGGCTCTGTTGCGTGTAGCTAAAAGACAGCAGCTTCAATCCCAGGGCCTGTCTTCCATCACGGATACTGACCTCAGCAAATACCTGACCAGGGAGGAGCTGGCTCTTCACTGTCGGAGGAGGACCCGTGGTGAGGAGACCACCATCCGGCTGCTGGAGAATCTGTTGCAGGGACTCATGGGGACCAATGGGAACGACTCCCTTGGAGTTCCCCTGTTTGACAGGGAGAGGATAGMGCACATTTGKCGTGTCCAGAAGAAACATGTAAAGTGCATCCAGGACCTGCCAGGTGTTGCTCTGTACGCCAAAACAGGGGAGCTCACAAAGGGAGGGGTGCGGTTGCCCACCTTCAGATGTGCTCGAGGCTCCACATCTCTCGAGTCCTTTCACCTCCACCTGAACCGCTTCATTCCAGGTTTGTGTCCCTC